AAGACTTTTGCACGACACTGAGTCAAACAGCACTGATTCAGCAGTGTCTGAAATCCCATTGAAAACTGCTTGTTCCAGGTACGGGGTGGGCAATATGGCAAAAACATCAGGATATTTGAAGACACACAATACATGATACCTATCATGACGTTCAGTTTCTCAGGGGGTTGATAAGTTAGTACAGACACAATGACACTGTTTATGAACACATTAACAGAGACAGAAGCAACTCACTGTTGTGCGTTGAGGGAACAGGATGAGAGAGCAGTCTGACAAGGTATTAACCAACTGCCATTCAGAATACACAGTGAATACTGATAAGGGGTCAGGCCCGTCAAGCTGAAGCTAGGAATTGATTTGCATCTCATTAGAAAATGCGAAAGGTTCACCCTTGGCATGACCTGCACAGAGACACGAAACAGACCCTCAAAGAACAGCCTGAGGCATTAGCCTGCTACTACCTGAAACTTGTCTGGAACTGCTTGAGAAACCACAACAACTGGCTCAATTCATTCTTATTTGCACATCCTGGAGTGAGAGGTGTGTAACAGTGTTTCCTCACATGTGGACTACACTCAAAATGCCTTCCGACAGGGTCAGTTAAATCTTTTCTAACAATACAGCTCCTGTGTTCTATTTCTGTGATGCAAATTTTAAAGACTGTTTCTTCACCATACACACTCAAAAATGATGCTTCTTCAAGGGTTCTTTAGTAAAGAAAATAGTTCTATATAGATCCATTAACACTAAAAAACGCTTTGCATGATTAAAGGGTTCTTTGCCTCAAGAAAGGGTTCTTCAGATTGACATAGAATGTGTTGAATATGGTTCGATATATAACATTTTTGAAAAAGGTTCTATATGGCACCAAAAAGCGTTCTTCTATAATTACAAGCTTGACACCGTAATAATAGTAAAACCCTTTTTGGTGCTATATAGAACCCTTTTCAAAAAGGTTCAATAAAGAACCATCTACAGCACATTCTTCATCAATCTGAGGGCTTTCACAATACAAAGAACCCTTTAATCATGTAAAGCGTTCTTTGAATGTTCAGGCCTGTGTGCCAAAACGTGTTGGGTGAGTCCTCCAGTCAACAAATGCTGCTGGTTTTACTTTCGCTACAAATACATTTTGTCCCCTTTTAAAAGCTTCCAAAATTTTTTATATCGCTATAAATAAACAAGGGCACACTTCACATAACATATGCTGACTGCGTTCGGCCAATTTATTATTTTTTATTTTGGCAGATCTGTCTTATTTTTATGAGGTAAATAACATTGAGGCAGGTGAGTGCACTCACTCTTTATTTGAATGCTGCTGCTAGACTGATAGCAAAATGATGCAGATTTATTATACAATACTCATTGTCCTAAATAGCCAGTCAGTCATTTCTTACTTTAGATGTAGCACTTTGTCTGATTTGAATTATTTGAATATGTGCCTTTTACGTTTAAAGCGTTAAAATGCCATTTTTGCTCATTAAAGCGCAAATAAATGTTATATATATGGTATTTGGCCAATTCAAAGTACTGGAAAATGTATGTCGTGTTCATTTCGCCCACACAGTGTGTGCTTTGGGTTTAAAATATAAGGCTAATAAAAATTGGCCAAAAAATCGGTAAATTTGGCTGTAAAGAAATCAGAATCAGCCATAAAAATCCATGATCAATGCATCTCTAGTATGCGAAATGTTACAAGCATATCAAAGTTTCTGACAACATTTTTTACATGTGGCAAGACCTGCTACTGCTGGTGAACTGTGCCTGTTCCAACTTACCAAATCAAAATACCACGATATATTGTGAATCGTAAAAATGTCTTCAAGTATCATTACATTTCCAAAACCCTTTCAAAGAAGGTTTAAACACCGAATGCAAAATATTCACAACAGCAAAGTACAGCAGAGGTTCTCAAACTGCTTCCCATGTACAACCTAGAATGTCCACATTTTTGCTCCGAGTGTTGCAAGTTGGGATCGAGCAATAATATGGACCATCCGGGTGGCCCTGAGGATCCGTCAGAAAACCACTGAAAGAAGCGATTAGGCTGCATGTTTGGAACTCCTTATCTGAAGTTTTAAAATGGACCTCCAACCTACAGGTTGCTGTTGGTCAGCAGTAAGAAATACACAAAAGCATAACGGCAGCCATAAATTTCACTCAAGAGGTTTCTGGCAGCATTAACGTGGATGAAAGCTCTAATTATAACACTTGACAGCTTATATGCACCTATTAGAGTCTGGGAAATACTGCTTGTATCTGTGACTCATCTCATAAGTGACTAGCTACAGCCAAGAGAAACAGCAGTGTTAACTTGAAGACCTAAAACCCACGTGTCAAGCACAAGGCACAATCCTATCCGGCCCGCAAAAAGTATTTTAATTTTCTATTAATATTAGCTTTTTCACAATGCACTGCACTACAGTCTCCAGCATGTACTGCAATATAATGTGTGCTCCAGCTCTTCTACCCCAATAACAATCTATGGGACAGAGGTTTCACCTCAGTTCTACACAATTCTACACAGTTCCACACCAGTCATATCACTAAACAACTGCAGACTAGCCAATATAAACACTTAACGTTAGCTCAGCATCTCAGGAATTGAGCTCAAGTCTTAATGAACTTGCAGCAAAGAAAAGATGCCAGGGGTCTAGTTCAAGAAAACAGGTAGTAGGATTAAAAGACCTAGCTAATGGGGACATTTTAATTTTAAATATTTCAAATATTCATGTAATATTTCAAGGTCTACTACAAGTGCCTATACTTTGCTTTTGAGGTTTCTGCATATTTTGAATAAACAATGGTCAGTTTGGTTTATAGCAAAACGTTAACTAAAAATGAAACAAAACATAGATGTTCTCCAGCATCACAGATTTTGTGAGATTTTTTAATATGGCCCTTTCAGTGGTTGACTTTGACACCCCTGACCTAAAACTAGAATGCCATGAAACACAATACAACAACATCTGCAAAAAAGCAGAGGAAAGGACTTTGACTGGTGAGACATATGGTGTCACTCCAAACAGCCCTGCAAGATGGAACTGGATGGAGAGGTGAATTACATTACAGGTAAAGAAACATTGTGAAAGGAGCTGCAGCACATTGTCAAAGGTTCTGTTGTTTATCTGAGACCTGAACAAAAGGTATTCAGCATCATATAGTCCGAGTGACAGAATCAGGGCGTTCATTTGAAATCCAAGTGTACCGTCTGCTTCAGTTTTGGAAAGCCAACAGATATTTCAAGAGAGCTAAATGTTGCTTGCACGTTACAGGTTTTACCTCAGGCAATTCAAATGCTCCAAACTCTGAACAATCCAGGTGACGCGGAAACTCATACTACTGAATTTACATTGCAGCTTTGAGAGCAACAGAGAAAGTCCAAACACTAGATGAAATCTCAGGGACTGACCCAAGGGCTGTTCAGACACCCTTTAAACAAAAAAGTGGTTCTTTTGTACAGCCAATGGTTACACAAAAAAAATGAATGTATAAATAGCTCTGTAAATGGTTAGATGGCTCTTCAGTGGTTCTTTAGTAAAGGCAGTGGCTCTATATAGAACCATGAACTTTCAAAGAACCATCTACATGCTTAAACAGTTCTTTGCATCGTTAAGTGAAATGACTGGTAAAGAATGTGTTGTATATGGTTCTGTATAGAACCTTTTTGAAAATAGTTCTATTTAGCACCCAAACAGGACTCTGCTACTGTTACAACGTTAAGCTTGTAACAATATAAAAACCCATTTTAGTGCTATACAGAACCATTTTCAAAAATGTTCTATACAGAACCATATACATGTACCATTTCAACATGCAATTTAAGCATGCATATGTTTTTTGAGGGTTCATGGTTCTATGTAGAACCAGTGTCTTTACTAACGAACCCTTAAAGAACAATCTTTATGAGTGTATATGGTAAAACCTGTTCTATATGGTTCTTTCTGGAACTATTTTTATAGAACTGTTCTGCATAGCACCAAAAAGGACCCACTGTTGTTACATAAATGGTTCGATACAGCAGCAAAAAGACTTGTAATGACAGCCAAACCCTTTTTGGTGCTCTACAGAGCCACCACTCAAACGGTTCTTTAAAGAACCATATAAGACAAGTACTCAAAGATGTAGACGAACTGTTCAAGCAAGCAAAGACAGCTCACAAAACATCTGAAATTAAACATTCACACGTTTGAGTTCTACTAAAAACTTTTGTAGTTCTACTAAAAAAACACTCGAACAGTTCAGGGAATCTGCTTTGTTACTGTTGGAGAACGAAACTTACAACGCCAACGTGACGCTGACACGGACAAGCGTGAGATAAGATAGACTACCTTCTAGCTGGGGGGTGAAAAGGGGACCCCAAGCTGTTTTTTCTAAGCCCATTGTTATTGCTGTTCAGGTGACAACGAGGAGGTTTTAAATAAGCCACGAAAAAAATGGAGCACACTAAGCAGCTAGCTACTCGGCTAATCTCGTTTTACCGGCCGCTTCAGGTAAGCTAGCAACGTAAGCCAGTAGTACGAAACACGAGTCAGCTTCCTACTCGCCAACGTCTTGTTCGAATTTTCCCGTTCCACCTTAAAAACTGCAGCGGTTACCTACTGGCGCCCCAGGTGCCAGAATGTAACTGCTGCACCCTTTAAGATGGAACGGGAAAATTCGAACAAGTCGTTGGCAAATAGGAAGCCAACTTAATGGAAGTTGGCCAACTACAACCTACAGACACCTAGGCTGTAGTGTAGTCTTGTTTTTCGAATGATATGACCACATTTAAGTGTGTGGTTATGGTAGATACAGATGATTTTCACCAGATTGGGACTAAATAACGTTGGCCAGCTAACTTAGTCACTTAAACAGCAACAAAACAAACGTCAGGCTGGTTTTCTTTTACACCTAGACTTCACGTCAGCTAACTGACAGTCTTAAAGTGTCAGTTAGCCCCACTACGTATCAAAAACTCGACAATACAAAAGATAAAGCCCAAGCTTCAAGTAACTTACCTCTTTAATTTTCGCTCTTTTCTCCTTGGTGTCCGGGTCTGACGGTTCGTGCCCTGTTGCTCCAGGCGGCCGTACGAACTCGATCTCCGGCAGAGAGTCGTCCTTTCCCCCGCCGCCTCTGCCCTGGCCGTCTCGGGCAACTTTCTCCTTCTCGCTCTCAATGTCCTGCTTTATCTCGTCGGTTCGTTTCTGCAGCGTGTCTTTGGCTTCCAGCAGTGCCTTTTCGTGATCTTTCCTGATCTTGGCCAGTATTTTCTCGTCCCTGCCAGTGGCGCCGGCGCCGGCGAAGTCCCCGTCAGTGCCCGGGCGAGGGTCGCTCTCGGCCGGTGCGGAGCGGAAGAAAACTCCGCTGAGCAGCTTGGAGGAGTCCGGCAAGAAGAATATTGCGCCGAAGCAGAGCGTTATAAAAGCACTGAAAACCAGAAGAAGAATGAATTTCTCCGTCAGTCTGAAGGAGGTCGGGCTCACAGACTTCCTATTCGGAGTCGCTGTGAAAGGCAGGAGAGTCGCTACAGGCATTTTTTGTATGTGTTTCTTCTTCTAGAGAGACTAAAAAATTGTCTGAAAATGTATTAAATCCTTGTCCGCACTGCGAGGCTTATAAGGGCATATGTTAGTCGAATATGTGGAGGTATAGCGTCCTCGGGAAGTTAGGGAGCCACTCCGTGTGAGCCCTCCACGCACGCTGCCGCTTCAGTTTATCATTGCCGAACACACATACGAGGAAAAAAAACAGCGAGGAAAGAGAAAGAGAAAAGTCTCCCTGAACGACGGATTATGCAGCAGCGGTGTGAGATTGACAGCCGCTCTGACCAATCACAGCTCTCACAGTCGCCTAATACAATTGTGGGCGTGTCTTTCTGGAGAACGTGATGGCTTGGTCGCTCTTTATTGGCTATTAGGAGATTAGCGATTAGAGAAAGTTGGAGAGGGTACAGGGCAGTTTTTTACTCACAAATCAGTCTGGACAATTAATCTTTTCTAATTTTTATAAGATTTTTCGGTTGTTTTTTTTACACTTATAGATTTAGGCTTACTTGCCTATTATTATTATTATTATTATTAGTAGTAGTAGTAGTAGTAGTAGTATTTATAGAGCACGTTTTATACTGGTGGCAGCTCAAAGTGCTTTGCAGACAGGTGATGAAGCTTAACAATAATAGAGAAAATTATGAGCATTGATTTAAACTCATCTAAGACAATGACACAGGTGAAATTAATAAATACCAAAGAGACGTAGAATTTTAAGTAAATGCTAAGTGAAAGATCCGTTTTCAAATGTTTCTCACATTTGAGTTCCACAGTTTAGAAGCATAATAACTGAACAAGGCTTATCCATGTTTTCTGTATTTTATAGAAGGTATTTGCAGAAGGCCACTCTCTGCAGATCTAAGATCACATGCTGGAACATAAACAAATCTGCTCGAGAGGCCTAACCAATATTCAATATGGTGGGTTAGAATTTTGTGATCAACAGTATCAAAAGCTCCACTAAGATCCAAGAAGACCAGAATAGAAAGATTTTGTGCGTCGTTCATAAGCCTAACGTTACTGACAGCACAAACTAATGCTGTCTCAGTACTATGGTTAGATCAAAAACCTGATTGAAACTTGTCAAGTAACGTGTGTGATATTAGACACACATTTAATTGCTTGAAAACATCTTTTCTAAGACTTTACTTAAAAAAAGGTCTAACATTGGTCTAAAATGATTTAGTACAGAAGGACAATGCTACTGTTTTTTAGTAGAGGATTCAACAAGGTGGTTTAAAAGCATCTGGAAAAGCTCCTGTTGACAGAGAGCAATGTACAGTAGTCAAAACATAATTTTGAACACAAGCAAAAATCATCTTAAAGAGTGAGGTAGGAACAGAGTGAAGATCACATGTGGACAAACATTATTTGTTTATACTGTTGGAAACTCCTCATAACTGACAACAAAGAAAATGTCATCACTGACATGGGTGGCTTATCAAGAAGGTTATAGGAACTATGCTCTGTCTCATCAAGGCTATGTTATTTTGAAAATGAATTGCAAACTCTTCACACACTTTAGAAGATACTGTAAGTCACTATTTGACACATTAGCAGACAAGTTAGGGTTAATTAGACGTTACTCAGTTAATTAGTAATAATTATTATTTTGTTGTTGTGTCATGAAGGCCTGTTGAGCCAATTCCTTATGCCAGCAAATGCCTTTGTGAGAAATTTTAAGTGTAATTTCACAAATAGTGATTTGTACGCTACAGTACTGGATAGTGAACTAGTTCACATGGCTGACTCACAAGATAAAGCACAGTTCTGTAATAGGGAGTGAACACAGGCATTACATTGGCTTTTAATGTGGGCACTCATTACACCTGCAGTTGTGCTTTTTAACATTGGTTACATATGTCTTCCAAGCGCTTTGTGAGCTATTGATAATTGTTATTGATAATTAAAGAGGCGCTCCACCCAAAATTAAAAATTTATGTTGTATATGTCTGTTTGCCACCTACAGTGGGGCAATGTTAGTCCTGATAGTGAGATTTTCCACTTTAAAGATTAGGAAAACCCCCTTCTGATGATGTATCTTGAAGGTGGGAGGAACTTTTGAAAAATGGCAAATGCTTTGGTACAGCCAAAACAGGAAGGAAGCCAGGTAACTAATATTATGCTAGGAAGCCAAACGTCACATCTGTTAAACCTGATGACACTAAAAATATTATATAATATGACAAATAACATATTAGATTGTTTTTTTATGTTTTGGGCCATTCTACGCCATATTTCCTATACTTATCTACTCATCCAGTTTTTCTTCTCTCCTAGACAGCTTGTCCTAGTTCAACATGTGATAATTGTGGACTTTAATCACCTCTTGCTTAACACATCTGCATTTTGGACTCAACTGTTCAATCTCTGAAATTGGCAACAGTGGAGAGACAATAACAAATGACTCACTCATGCAGCTTCATGGACAAATCAGATATTCAGAAAAGCGAGGCGAGAAAGTCATTGTATGATACCTTGAGACAGTCCTCTTGCTGATATTTCTACCAAAACAATTTAATTTAACCCTTCTGTGGTGTTCATGTGTTTTTGTTACTCAGTGGGTCTGGTGGACCCACCACATTATTATTATTTTTTTTTTTAAATCAATACAGCCATAACAATTTATGTATTTATGTAAAAATATCAGATGTTTAAAATATCACAAGTGGTCAGTATAGGGTTCTCCTTTAGCAGCTGTAGCCAGTCAGCAGCCTGTCTATGTTGTCCACCCTCACCCACACACACTATAAATGTGTAGGGGGTTTACAGTGTAAAGGCACTGAAAATGTGTTATTATATATGTTATATACAGAAAATAAGCAAAGGCCAAGAAATCTGGGGTTTGAATAATAATAAATAGCATCATTTTTTCTTTTTGGGAAACATTGAAAATGGGTCCCACATACCTCAACACAACACAAGGGTTGAACTGCAGGGGCCTAAATATGACTCCACACTTCACTTCAGCACTCATTATTTACACACTTACAGAATAGTGTCATAGTAGTTACTGAACAGTCTGTTCACTCTTTTGCAATTTATTATTGCCCATAAATAAAGGTGTCGTTAAAGGTAAGGAACTTTAATTATTACTTTAACACTGACAACATCTTAAGAAGCAAGAACATTGCATCTCTTATTTGGTCCATTATAGGTATATATAAAAGTTTAAACACTCCTGGTGAAAATTAAAATAAGTTAACACATCCTCTACAAAGAACCCTTTTAAAACCACATTTTAAGGTTTATTTGTCTTTCAATCTGTTCATCAAACAAACAGTAACTGTGTATTAAAATGAACCGAAGTATGTTCTCTGTAGAGGATGTATTAACCGTATTTTTACACTTAGAAAATCAACTGAACGCCAATTAACTAGGGGCGCCCGCAGTGGCAAGAACTGTATATATATGTATACCAGGATGGGATGTAACAGAACACACATTTTTGGAATACATATTCAGAATACAGAAATTAAGTATCTGTATTCAGTCCACACTACACTTTGAAATGGCAGTATTCAGTATTTATGTTGTATATTTGTGGGAGAATACTTTTAGAATACCTATTCACTACATTAAAAAACACAACATGTAAAAGAAACACCATAAATAGTTGTTTATTAATTATTTTAAAATCAGCTTGAAAGAGGAACTCAATAAACAGCACCATTGCAGACAGTGAGGCAGGAACAGACTCATAAATCAATGTGATAAGCCAGTTCTTTATCTCAGAATTACTGAGCTCTTTTGTATCCTCAGTAGTGGACATGCTTGTGAGCGATAAGCTTAGCACTGACGTTGTACTGAACTTGTGCATGTATTTCACATCTTGACATGTATTGTGCATGTATTTCATATCCGCCTATTTATTCACTGAACCTCACCCACTTTAAAGTCAAATTTGCAGTTGAAAATGCAGTTAAAGCGAAAACTGTGCTTTAATGTGTTCATGTCCAGATAAAAACTATATTCAATATAGTTTCAACACAGTCACTTTTTTGAATTGTACATTTTTTTACATTTACATTGCATCACTATGCATGCAAGGCATTCCAAGAATCTCATAGAACTAGACAAGTTCTGCAAGAAAATAGTGGGTGAAAATTCCTAAAACGAGAATAGAAAGACTTCAAGCTGGCTGTAAAAGGCCTTTGCAAGCTGTGCTATCTGCCAAAAGGAGTACACCTGAGTACTGACTTAGTGGGGTGTCCAAACATTTTCACATGCAACAGTTACTATTTATTTTAAAGTAATTGTGATTAACATTTGCAGGAAAACATACTTATTTTAGAAATCCTTTGCTCCAGTGATTGTGTTTACTTTATTTCTATCCAAAAACCAACAAAGTATATAATTTGGCCAGGGGTTCCCAAACCTTTGCCTACTACTGTTTCACACCTCCTCTAATTAGTGAATTCAGCTATTTTAGGGTACTCAGATAGAATGGGGTGCTCTGGAGCAGCCTCATATGAGCCTAAGGTCACCATGCCTAATGCCAAACATCAGCTAAAGGGGTATAAAGCCCCCAGCATTGGGCTGTGAAGCAGTGAAACTGTGATCTTTGGAGCGATGGCGCTCCTTCTAACACCACTAAGATGAGTTGGAGTGATCCAGAACTGATCATTCAACATCAGTACCTTGCCTCATTAATGCTCTTGTGGCTGAATGCAATCAAATCCTCACAGCAATGTTCCAACATCTAGTGTAAAGCCTTCCCAGAAGAGTAGTCTTTGAGCATGAAAGCACCTAATGCAAATGCCTTCAGGTTTTCCTGTCAGATAATTGTTATCAAAGCGGGAATGCAAAGAAAAGTGTGATTCAGCTATTCAGCTCCTTCAATGTGTGTGTTTTTTGTGTTTGTGAACCCACATCCTCGATCGTCTGTTGCCCACCTACCGTATTCCATAGCAGTGTTTTTCTCTTTACACCATAGGAGCACCTTTCCCTTTGCTGGCCGCCGTTATTGTAATTGTGTCGTCCTTTTTGAATGGTCAATTACTGCGTGAAATGGATTACGTGCTGTTTTCGTGCTCTGCTCTTTGCTTTGCAGTGAAATGAGGGTGTCGTGGAATCCCTTTCGCAATCGTTTTCCTCCAGCGCAAGGACATTAAGAGCATTCACATAAATAAAACGATCAATGAAACAAACTGATTCAAGCTGAAATAAGAAAATTGCTACATAACTGAACAAATGGACGTTGAATGGAGGCCATTATGGCTGTGCTGACTTTCATGGT